AAGAAGAACACAGAAGAAGAACACAGAAAACATAATAATTACGATCTCGTTTGCAATCTTTTAAGTGAACTACAGCTACCACCAAGTAATAATGTAACAAGAACATATAGAATAAGAGCAAAACAACACCAGCATCATGAACAAAAAAAGGAGAACTTAACAAACACCGATGAAGAAGATAGAAGTGTGAATGACACATCTGCCAGTACCCAAAAACCTGCACCTTTAACTGTCAATATTGTAAACAGAAAATTAATATGAAATGAAATCTTAAATCACACCAAGAACTAAGCTAAACTTTAGAGAAGAACTTAAAGAGAACTTAAACCAAGAACTTAGCTAAACTAAGCAAAAACTTTAACAACGTATATATTCAACCTGAATTAACCAGCAGAGCGCAGTTTAAGGAAAGAGCTACTCACTAAAAGAAATATTCTAAACAAAGAAATACCGTGAGAGAGCAACAAATTTACTGGTACTCACTACTTTGGTATCAGAGGTAAAACTATCACAAAAAATATTCTCTGAGGAACTAAATTCAGATGAAGAAATTATATTAGCAAAAAACACGTCAAGCGTATCATCACTAATGCAAATTAACTTGTCAGCAACACTAACGGAATCTTCCAACTATCTGATTATCTTGACACTTAAATCAATAATAATGTTTCTGCAAATGGTGCTGGCAAGTTGAGTTTGCCAAACAGAAAATGATTAAAAACCAAAACACTAAAACGTAAAATAGGAACCTAAGTGAACTTTGCGACCACAATACACCTTTGCTTAGAGATCCACTAACTACCGATTTTTCTGATATACTTTATTACTTAGCCAACAATCCATGCTCACTAAATAAAGATAAACATGATGGATTTGTTGCCAGGTTAGCTAACATCCGAGATCCATCACTATTACCGCATGTCATACGGTTTACAGAAACCTGGTTCACTAGCAATTCTGATACATCAATAGCCAGTTGATGTGCGGCCATCTACATCAAGGATAGTATTATAGCTGAGAAAACTGTTGCTCAACCTAGCTCACCCAAATTTGAATATGGTGTGTGATCAAAATTGGAAAAGATGTCATTCTCATCGGATGTATTTATTATCCTCATGACTTCAACAATGACTACTTTGTTTGTCTTTTAGCTACCATATTAGCAGCAAAAACTATTCTTCAAAAACTAGGCTGCTCATCATTGGAGATTTTAATCTTAAAGAAACATTTTAATAATCCATTGAAGAAGGAAGTGCTGTAGCAACCATTGTCTATGTAGCACACAAGCACCCAACTGATCTAAAATATCAAGAATGTCTTTGAGTGCCATCTTACGCAGCTGGTTACATTTCCAACATATCACGTTCCTTTTAGTAGCACGTTTGACCTAATAATCTCAAACAAACCAGACTGCTCCATATCACTAGAGCAGATCATCTAGGCGATACACCAGGAGGTCAAGTACATTGCATGATATATGGACTTTTTGCTTTGACGGGGCACAACACAACAACTACTCCGATAAAAAAACGATGAATCGTTTTGATTACAATTTTTTATCAACTTGTATATCATCTACAGATTGGATAACAACTTTCAATGGAAGCTTTGTGCATGAAAATTACCAGACACTAGTTAAACACTACAACGAAGCAGTCAAATTCATTCCAACAGCAGCTTTGTCGATCAATAAAAATTAAGATTACACCAGAAGTACTTAAAAATTCTCATCTCAAACAACCTGAAAGTCAGAGTGCAAATTGAAAAAGCAGCATCCATAGCCAATTGCATGTTAGGAAGGCTCAAAAACACTTTCCGCAGTAGAAACTTAACTCTGTGGCGCACACTCTATATAACGTATATCTGGCCACATCTAGAATTTGTCATTTAAACCTGGTCCCCATATCTAGAAACAGACATTAAGTTACTTGAGGATATTCAAGACCGCGTGACTAAGATAATATAATCTATCAGCCATTTTGATAAAATAAAGTGTCTGCAGATACTCAAACTTACCACCGTCAAAGAACATCATTTACATGGAGATATAATAAACAATTTAAGATTTCAACAACATTGACGAAGTTCATTTTTTGGTCCCACAGCACCAACTAATTGTGTGTGATGTACAACCTAAGCGACCATGACAAGCAGCTCAACTGTTGATTCGTAAGAGGATGTGAGGAGAGATCAGACTTTTTCACAGAGTTGCAGTCCATTGTAACTCTCTCACACAGCACACTGTAAACACTCCAACCTTGAATACATTTAAAAATCAGATTTTGTTTTGATAAACTGTTAAATCAGTATAGAGGCTCCTAGAAATATCTCTTCATCAAATAATAATTTAACATTTAAATATATACATATATATATATATATATATATATATATATATATATATATATATATATATATATATATATATATATATATATATATATTATTATTATTGTTGTTGTTATGGCATTATTGCAGTTAACATGAATTAATTTGGCTACTGAATATATCAAACTATATCAAATATCTAACTCCAACTTATATTAGGATGTCGATTTTTTGGTAAATTTTTGGTATTTCCAGTTTAAAAAATACAGGTGTAAATAATAGACGAACTTCGGTTTAAAAGTAACTGAAAAGTCATTGGTTTTATTTAACTTTTGAAAAAGGTCACCTACCATGACCCTTGATTTCACGCTGGGTCCCATATATCAGTGAATTTTTTTTTTTCAAAAGTATATCAATCTGGGCAGGGCCGCCCCAAAGTGGTCTTCCATGATGAAGGTAGGGGGGGGGTGTTGTATGAACTTTTTGGTAATTAGAGACCAAAAAAAAAAAAAGTCCTCAATATTTGCAATTTACCAACTATAGTTCAAAACTTGTTAATGTACCAACTCAAATGCTTATATGACAGCTTTAAGGGGGTACACCTACACCCTGCGTTCAGGACATCCCTAAACCTGGGTCTCAAAAGAACCAGAATTTTATAGTGATTTCAAAATCTTTACTATTAAAACCTTTTTTTTTTAAAAAAAAAAAAAAAGAAAAGCTAAAAAATGACCTTTTGAATTTTTAGTTGAAAATTGTTTTTTTATTGTATACAAAATTTGAGCAATTTTTTTTATTTAAAACCATCAATATTTCTGAAATCTATGAAATTCTGGCTCTTTTGAGACCCAGGTTGATAGTGAAATATGTGTAATTAAAGGATCATGATGGGTAATTTTTTTCAAAAATTAAAACAAATGCCTTTTTAGTTACATTCAAAACCAAGTTCATCAATTTTTTATACAGTAAAGAAGATTCCAAAAAACATAAGCAAACAAACATAGACAAACTGGGGACAAAAACTTGCATTATTTTTATTAATAATTTAAACCTTTCACTAACTTCCCTTCCATGTGCAATCAAGCAATGTAAGCGCTCCTTCTATTCTTTTCCAGTATTGAAGATGAAAGAAAGCATATGCAACAGCTTCACTATCTCCTCGTTTTAATATATGTTCTGGGGGTAAAATCAATGCTTTTTCTTCCAACAAATACTATTAACCAAAACATAACATTAACTATAAAAATAAAATTAATAATTTCTGTTTTTTTTTTTTAAACATTTGTTTTTAAAACTTAAAAACTATTTATAAAAGGTAAAAAATGTTACTTTTGGAACATGTGGATTAAATTCTACAGCTCTGTGTATTGCTTCAACAGCACTTATTTCTGCAGGATTCAAACCACGTTTTGCAGCTACATCTGGAGAAAATCTAATTTATGTAAATATATAAATTAAAATAATTATGTCTTAGAAAACTGATTTAAAGGGTTCACAAAGGTTTGCAGGGAAGTAAAAAATTGGTATTTTTAAGTGTAACAAATGTGAAAAGGAGTGACACTTGCCATGACACTGCCACCTTAACAATTTAGCTTTTTGGTGCTCCAGCAAACTTTACTGTTAAACAATTTACTTTAACCAGATGGGCATAACTTAAAACTAGATACTATTTGCATACCACAAATGTTTACTGTCTATACTACATTTCATTTTAGCGTTAAGTGGTGTACCCATACTACTGTATCAACAATTTTTTATTTTAAGTTGAGCTACTTATTCAAAATCAATACAAAGCAATACAAATATTATTATTATAAAAATACTTTAACAAAAAATCACTTATATAAAAATATAAAGACTAACTTATCTGCCACTGCCCTTGCTTTTAAAAGAGCTGCAGTATAACATATTGTGGCAGATTTTGGAAGACTAATATCTAAAAATATAGTTTATTATTAAACATTACCTTTTTATTATTATTACTAGTTATTAATATTATTATTATTATTATTACTATTATTAAAAGAAGTATCTTATATTACTTCTTTTATTATCATTACTTATTAATATCAATTACTTAGCTGTAAAAATTCTTACCATCATATTTTGTCAGCACTTGCTAAATAACAATGAAAAATATGAATTAAATTGAATATTTTATGCATATTTCTAAAACCCTTGAAAAGTTTATAAATTTCTTATATTTGATAAACTTTGTAACATATTTTTTAAAAAAAGCTAGACAAAAACAACAAAACAATAACAAACCTGAACTTCTGAATAGGCTTGCATTTCTAACAATGCTTCAATAAGATTTTCATGAATGTTTAAAACACTTAAGAATGGATGCTCTTTAAGTAACTAAATTTAAAAAAATATTTTTTTTTTGCTAACCATCTTAACATGGCAAAAGCATTTTTACTTCTATATACTTCTCCTATTGGCTTTGGTGAACCACTAAAACATGTTTTAGTTTATAGTTACAAAATGTTTTTGCTTATATTTGTATTTGCTGGAATATGTTCTTGATAAGGTTTGCAAAATTTTTTTCTTTTCCACTGCAAAGATTTTGCAAACAATCGCAACACATTTAAAACACTTACATCTTTCATTGTTTTAACAGCATCTTTTGTCCTTCCCAACTTTCGTGCACACATTGCAAGCCTTCGTTTCACATATACGTGCACATTTGTGTCTCGCCCTAAAAAGTAAATATTATTAAAATTCAATTTTGAATTCAATGATACAAAACTATTGTTGACAAAGCTGAAAAATAATACTATTTTATATACTATGGCAGATCTCAGCTTCTTCATCAGCAGAAAGACTATTATACTGTCTCAGATTATTTTCACTTGCTTTTAATGCTTGCTTGAACAAGTTTTCTGCCTGAAAAGTAAGTAATGAATTTTACCAAAAAATGACAATTTTGTTTTTTACCTAATGTAATATATATATATATATATATATATATATATATATATATATATATATATATATATATATATATATATATATATATATATATATATATATATATATATATATTTGTTTTTTATCTTTTTAAAGTGAATTATTATGTATTATTAGTAATAATTATGTATATACAGGGTGGCCACTCAAATTTGAAAAATGACTTTTCCATGACCTCTTTATAAATTTTTATGATAAATCTTTAATGATAAATCACTAGAGTGAAATATTCACTTGTCATGTACTAAGCATTTGCAACTTGGTCATTATAAAACATGCAAACCAAAAACTAATTCTGAAAACATGTCAGAAAAAAACTTTTTTTTTACTTCTCTGATAACTTACACTGCAAAAATATCTTTTTCAAAAAAGACTTGGACTAAACATACTTGTACTTTTTTTTGCATCCCACAAGTAGAAAAAAATTAAAATCATTTAAAAAAATTCCATGAATTTTTCATGACCAAATAAAATTCCATGACATTTCCATGATTTCCATGACCAGTGGCCACCTTGTATATATTACATAGATCTATACATTCGGGGTATAATATTTTTACAAACTCAATGAGCATGTCATATTCTGATGAGCCTTTGTAAATAATGAAAGAAATTTAGTTTCAGTACATCTACAAATTCTATACTGGTAATTTGAAGTAAAATATGTTTCCACTTTGTCTTAAAATAATAAGTTATGTTCAAATAAGTAATAAAGATATATATCACATAAATAAAGTTATATTGATAAAATTAAAAAAACATCAAAATATTTAAAAAACTATATTAATAAAACTACATTAACTAAAAAGGTTTGCTTTAGCTTTAATCGTGATTTGTTAATAAATATTTCAAATACAAAACTTTTTTAGATTTGCAAAGACTTTTTATGCTTCTTCAGCACAAATATTTGATTTTTGCGTATTTATAGGCAAAGGAATATCACACCAAAACTTTGTCAATGTATTGATAGCCTTTGGATAATCTTTAATGGCTTCCTCCAAATCTTTGGATATCTGGTTTTCAAACCAAATGTTTTAAACATTTAGTTTGAAAACAAGATATCTGCCCATTTTCTAGCAACAAGCTTAAATGCCATCTCAAGTCATTGTCTGTCTGAAAGAATTAGTACATAAGCAAGTAATAAATAAATTGCATGGGAGTTCCATCTAGGCTAACATTTGGTAAACTTTTAAAATTAACATTAGAAAACTTCTTTTCATTCCAAAAGTATTTCACTAGGTTAATCAGATGCTTCAAACACTACATGCCATCTCTCCATTTCAGTTCATTCTCCTTCAATGGTATACTACTATTGTCAAAGTTCGATGTTAAATAGTCATATTTACCATGTATTGCTTCAACAAAATAATACCTTCTCTGATGACTGCCATATGATGATTGAGTTAGTGCAAAAAGATCGACATTAGCCATCTGAAGTTGTTGAAACACTGTGGCAGCTTTTTGTATACTTAGCTTTGCTTGACAAACCAATTTAACAGCCTTAATTGTTCTGTTTAATTTTTCGTTTATTAATATTTATTGAAGGTTCATAATTACTGTCATTACGACTTTCTTGTTCCTCTCTGTATTCATTAAGAATTTAACTTGGTGGCATAAATGGAACTTTTCAAATTCTAACTTTTTGGTTGCAGTATTTTATATTATCTTTTGCTGCCAGAAAATATTTATGATAAGTATATGATAATACATAATGAATATGAACATTTGTATAAATATTAATTTATGAGAAAACTTATGGAAAAACTTTTTATCTAATAGTAGAACCTCTTCAATTGTAGTCGCCTCTTCTTCTGCTAGTAATACAAATGCTGTTGCACACCTAAAGAATATAATATAGAAAGAATATCAAAAAGTAGATAAAACAATAAAACATCCTTATAAAAACAAAAAAGGTATGTATATACACACATTGATTCCTATTTGGTAATTTTGCTATTCAAGACATAAAATATACTTTATTTTCTTTTATGCAGGCTTTGACAGTTTGAGCTTTCTGGATGGGCACCAATTTAGTTTTAATATGAGTTTTGTTTGGGTTAAAATTCACCAGCTACTGCAAGTAAGTTTATTCTATATACTTATATCCATTTTATCAAGGTCTGAGCATATAGTTGTATACCAGCAAAGAGATACTTTAGAAGATTATTTGAAAGATTATTAATAGATAATAAAACAGCAGCAATTATGAAAACTCGTAGAGCCACAAAAGTTACTTGAAATGAAGAATAATGTTGCCTACAACGAGCAACTTCAATAATGCAAATGAAAAAGAATGATTCAAAAAATTTCAAAATTCTCCCAGATGTAAAATATGAAGTGAAATACCTTATGGAGAAGATCACCTTGCCAGAATCTATTGAAAACCTTTGATGTCAGGAGCAACAGCATTTGGTTTGCTGCTTCTGTGTAACACAGGATAGAACTATTTCTGTTATAATGATTGACATGTCAGCAGTGAAAGATCAAAATATGTATTGATTGTCAGAGAGTTAAATTTTAATGAGAGAGTAAGTTGTTAAACTCATTGGGAATGTAACAACTTATTTTTTTTTATTAACTCTCTTAAGGGTACTATTTTTGGGAGAATTAATCAGGCCTATGTATGAAATGAAATGTTAAAATTGCCTTTATTAAAGTCTTTAAGTGGCAAAGATTTTCCAAAAATCTATAAAAATTGACATCTAAAATATTAGAAATAAAATCAAGATTTATTATTCTGAGAATACTGGACCTTATCATCTGACAATATATTTTTGAATTTATTTCTTATAATGGTAAATCTGATGTAGATTAAGTAAATTAAAATTATTTAGTAAGATTAAGAGTTTGAACCTAAAAAAGAAAAAGGAAAACTGAGCAAAAGCTAGCGCCAGAGATAAAACACAAAAGGATTTTTTTGGAAAATAAATCACAAAGCTATCTGAGATGGAGATAGAGAAAAACAAAAATAATGACCTTTATTGACAGCAGAGTTTAACTATTCAGTGTGATGAGCATTCAAGTCACTAATAATAACAATATTTGCTAAGGAATAAAGAAAAAGGGCTCAGACATTTTTATCAGAAACAACAAAAAGAATTATAAAAATTGACTTTGAATGATATAAAACAAAAGAAAAGGTGATTGAGTGAAGAGGTGTTATCTTTTAAGTTCACTAAATTTTCTTATTATATGTTTCAAGTTCACAATAGATCAATCTTTGGGATCAAAATATAACGCCTGACATTTTTATCTGTTGACACAAAAGGATCTATTAATTGTGTACTAGCATATTCAGCTATTCTCAAAATCTTTTAAGTAATGATTTATTTAAGAATTTCTTTGGCATGTAGTTTTTTTTAAACAGATTAGAATTTGTGTAGCATTTTCTAAGCCAGTCTTGGTCAGAAAGGCATGCGATTGCACGTCTTTATATGAGCACAATAATACTTTGTTCTGATGATTTGACCATGGCTGTTTTGAAAACTTGAACTTAAAAATGCCTTAAAAAAGCTTATCTAGACTAAACGTAAGAGAAAATAAAAATAAATGAATTAACCCCCCCCCCCCAAAAAAAAAAAAAAAAAAAAAAAATTATAAACAACAAAAATAAAACCTAAAAAATGAAAACACTAAGATTATTTAAACCAAGTTTTTAGTTACATAAAATATAAAGTAACTACTTTGATTGTTTGAATGATTGTTTAAAAAATTTTAGTTGTTCATTTTACTAATTTTTAAATATATAAAAATAAGAAAGTTTCCATACAAATACAGGATAGTAAATATTTATGAATTAAAAAAAAAAGATAATTTAACTATTTTCAAAACCATTTCATGATTTGATTAAACATACATTCGTTAACCATTCAAACAAACATTTATTTGTAAAAAGCGATGCATAAAAGAAAAATATTTAATTCTTTAAAGTGATTTCTTTAGTAAATGAAATAAAAAAATTTAGATTCTTATTTCGTTCTTGCAACAAACTTTTTGTTATCTGTTTAAGTATATTAACTTGAACCATTTTTGAAAATAAATTTTTAAAGAGATAATTGTTTGTTAAAAGTCAACTACTATAAAAATAAAATTATTATTTTTTTAAAGATAAAAAATTAATATTCATTGATTCATATTTTTTAAACGAAGTTTTTTATCTTTTTAAGAGTATTAACACTAAAGATTCTTATATAATGTTCATTAAAACTATCGCTGTTTAAGAAAAAAAAAACTACCGCTGTTTAAAAAAAGTTGTTTATAAAATCAAAATGAGCTTATTATTATTTTTTTAAAAATACTGTTTATTATAAAAAATGCATATTTATATAATTTATATAACATTTATAATGTTATATAAATTATATAAATATGCATATTTCTAGTTTCAACAAAAGTTGAAACTAGAAATATGCAGAAAACTAGAAACAAACATTATCAGTACTTTGTACTATATTTTAAAAAGTTTCACTAATATAAAGATATAAGTTTTGATATTATTTACTTTAACGCATAATTAAAAATCATTTTTATTCAGCACATTTTTGATATGTAAAAAGCTGCATTCAAATTGTCAAAACTAAGTATTATTCGCATTGTTATACGTCCAATCGCACGCCTGACCAAGACTGGTAAGCATGTTAATAAACTCTTCATAACAGTTTTAAATATGCAAAACATGTATAAGTATAAGAAAATCTGTATAAAAATTTAAGACATTAGTTAACTAAAAAATCATGATGTTTTCAACTCCCCTTGTTCCTTTTTTATAAATTATACCTTACATCGCGACACTTTTAATAATAATAATAATAATAATAATAATAATAATAATAATAATAATAATAAATATTTTTATATTACTTGGATTGTGAAATACTAAGAGCTTCATGAGCCATGGATATCCTTTTATCTTTTTCTTTTTCTTTAAATGCTTTTAACATTTCTATAATAAAAAGTTCAACATATTTTTTCAAAAACAGCTTTATTGTAACAAAATTCTAACAAAAGAGTAACAAAATTCTAACAAAATATTGTAACAAAATTCTAACAAAAGAGTAATAAACAAAATTCTAACAAAATTGTAACAAAAGAGTCTAAAATATTTGTACAGTTAATACACTCTGGAAAAATAATTTTAAGTAAAACAAAATAACATTCTCTCAATAAAAAAAAATAAAAAACTTGAAACTTCCAGCATTTTTTTCTCTAGAAATAAAACCATTTGAAGAACTTAATCTTAAAATATATTTGCAACAATTTTTCACACTTTCTAGTTCCAAAAAAAATCTAAAAAAAATCTATTTGAAAATATTTGTTTAACTATGGGGTCCTTGCCAAATGGAGTAAATATTATTACTAAACTATTAATCCATTGACATTACTAAACAAAATGTTTTTGTTTTTTTTAATTAGGGAGGCAATAAGGCGATTAAAAAAACTACATCCAAATTTTTTTGTAACTTTTTATTTAACTTTTTTTTTTTAATTAGCTGCTAATTGAATTTTTTTATTATTTTTAGACTATTGGCAATTTCGCTAAGTAAATAAAAATTTAATAACTAAAATAACAAAAAAATTTTAGTAAATTTTTATTAGGTTTCTCATGGATTTTCGCAGATATTGCAGAAACATTTTGATTTTGTACATATATATAAGAACAGTTTGTTTTAAAAATTTCAGATCAATATCTAATATAGTTCTTGAGAAAACACTATTTAAGTGATGGTCTATTTTGCATAAAATTTTGCTCTTTAAGCAAAGAGTTTTTTTTGATCATTTTAAACAGCTAACAACTTCCAAACAAGTTGGTTTTATATTTCTAATATTTTAAGATAGTAAGTTTGCTATGGTTACTTTTAGAAAATCTGGCATCTTAGCGTTTTCCATAATGGCGAGCTTGTTTTTAACAGCTAAAAACTTTCAAACAAGTTGGTATTTTTGTTTTGGAATTAAAATTATTTGTGATTTTTATGAGCTTAATCTTAAAAACTAGATTAAAAATTAATACAAAGCATATTGCCTATTGAGCATGGTAGATAAAGCATATTGCCTATTAAGCATGGTAGATAAATATTTAAAAAAAATTCAGTTGATTATAGAGTTGCATTGAAAAGTTATGAGTTTTCAAAGTGAGTCTTTTTCTTTATAAAATTTCTTATACGCATTATTCGAAGAGTGTTAATAAAAACCAAAAAAATTAATTGGCACTTAACTAATAATTCCAAAAGTTAGGAAAACTTTAGGTAAAAAGATAGGTATAAGTTAGGTAAACTTTCCATAAAAACAAATTAAAATTATTTGCTTGTCTTTTAAAACTGGAAGTTAACAAAATAATCAACTGCATTGAATTAAATGTTATTTTTTATAAAATGATTATTTTAAAAACATTGATGTTTATAACCCTTTAACCCAAATATATAAAAACTTATAATTTAATTTAAAAAAAAAAAAGTTTTATAATTTGTAAATGGAATTAAAGTAAAAAATTTACAAAAGTTTTAAATACATAATATATGACACTAAATATTTTAAAATACTTGTGAATATTTGCAAGTAAAACTAAAATCTTTTAAAAGACAATAAACAAATTTATTAAAATTCAAAAAAAAAAAAAAAAATTCTCAAATAATAAGTTAATTTCATTGATTGCTTTCAAGTCAATATTATAAAATCTTCTTCTGACTGGACTAGTAATAGATTAGTAATAAATGGAGACCACATATGATCCTGGTATCTAACTTAAAATTTGATTAATATAAGCTCTGCAGCATCTTATTTTTAATGAGCGATGTTGGTATAAAACTGTGGAAATTTCGTGTCCAAAGTATTTTTAAAGATAAATCTTGAAGTTTTTAATATGTGTTTTTATAGAAACTTTGTTAATAAAAATAAATGATATTCATTTGACATGTTGAACAAACCAGCTGTACATTTTGCTTGATGTGTGACAACAAGATGCTTTATGGTGACAACAAGATGCTTTATGGTTCCATTAACTCCACTCCTACTTCCTTTTCTACCCAATTCAGAGAAGTTTTTGATAATATTCAACTTTACTTTCTTAATTTTCAGGCTTGTAAAACAGATTATTGTGAAGTCAAAAAAAAAAAGTTTTCTCCATTGTTTAACTGTCAGGAGTAAATGTAGGTGTCAAGTATAAGAAGCATAATATTTTTCAGATTTTAAATGAATTTTTTTTTGATTTTGAATGTTTTGTTAAACTTTGATTTGATTTGAGTCATACTATTGTCTAAATCTTTGCTTTTTTTAATATTTGGTTGAAGCAGTTTTAATTTTACCAAGTGCAGCTATTTCTGCACCTAATACATAGGCAACAGCCTTATGTCTAAGAGTTCTTATGTTATCAACTTTACGTTTTCCATATGCATCTCTATCTTTTTGAAACAAGTTTGAGAGGTGAGCATTCAAAACTTGCAATAATTAAATTAAGATTTTCTTTTAATTTAAGGTTGTCAACATAAATTTCTTTTTCTTGTGATTCATTTTCTTTGGTATCATGATGTTTGCAATCCAGTATTTTTCTGCAACTAGTGCAGATGACCAGGTATTAAACCAAAATCTTTGACTCATAGAAAGACTAATAATTATATAAGAACCTATAAAGTAAAATACAATAATTATAAAATATTCTTTAACACCTATTTATTAGCAAAGGTATTACTTTAAATATTAAAAGGTATTACTTTAAATATTAAAACTTACTTTTCATTTTTTGTGCGCACTTGTTCAAAGGATTACCTTTGATGTTCATTCTCTTACCTCATCATTCTCTCTTACCTCATCATTCTCTTACCTCATCAAGTAAACTTTTATCGTAATAATTACAAATAACATCTATAGGATTTACTTTGAATTACTTTACTATAGGATTTGCTTCTCAAAGAGAGAAGACTTGGTTTAGTTTAAACAGTTTTTATAATATTTATTTTTTTAAATTGCTAAATTTAATAAAATAGGACTGCTCATTTAATGTTTTAGCGATAAGGAGTGGGCTCACGCATACTATTGATTATTAAATAGTTCTAAAAAAACAAAATTAATTTAAATGAATTTATTAGTACTTTTTAGATTGAGATACTAGTATTGTATAATTCCATGAACTTTTTGAGTTTTTATTGAAAATTTTCATGACTTTTAGAGACTATCTTTTGGGATTATAAATTAGTGTCCATTAATTTTTTTAGTTTTTATCAACACTCATGAATTGATATGTATAAGATATTTTAAAGGAAAAAAGGTGCCATCTTAGGTAACAGATGCTTTGCATTAGGGACCAACTTTAAAAAAAATTATTGTGGCTCACTTTGATGACATTTGAATTCAGCTCTCTAATCAACTGATTTTTTTCTAAATATTTATATGCCTAACATAGATTAATAGGAAATTTGATTTGTAATACATGTTTTTTATTTTATAAGCATAACGTTTATAAGCATATGGAGGCTCTGATTTGGAAAAAAAATAAGCATATGTAAGCATATTCCTGAGCCTCGATAAACCATTTAAAAAATTCAAATTTTATTAATTTTATTATTTCATTTATTTCAAATTTTATTTATTTTATTATTTCATTGATAACATTTGTATATAGTATATATTTTTTATTATACCGTACTTAAGTCCAATTTTTATTTTTCTTAAAACCATTAACCTTTAGTAAAGCACGGATTTTTAGAAAGTATTAAAATAAGCATATTTTATTACAAATATGCTTAAGTTTAAGCATATTTTTGAGCCTCTTTTAACTTTTTGCTTAAGCATACCCGAGCCTGTTTCAAAAATTTCATATGCTTATAAAAAAAAAAAAAACGTAATTTTTATCTAGTTTTAAAGATTAGGCTCTTTAAAATCACAAAAATTTTCAATTCCAAAACAAAAATCTCAAATTTAGCATGTCATTATGAAAAAAGATAAACCATATCAGATTATTTCCTAACATTTAGATAACCACAAATCCTATTACCAAAGTGGTTCTGGATTAACTAAATAAACACATGTTATATTCAAATCAACATAAGGTTTTTGTCTATAATTTTTTTAAATTTAAACATAAAGTTAAACTAAGTGTGCCCAATGACAAATTGTTTTATAAATTGTTTCAAATTAAAATCTAAATTCATTATTTTACAATATGCTCTTACAAATAAAACTGGTCTTTTTTTAGTGGAAGCCAAGTTCAAAAAAACATTTTTTTACTTTGTTATTAAAAAAAAAGTATTTAAACCAAATAAAGAAGTTTTTTTAGTTTTTATTTTAATAATGCATTTAAACATGAAATTTTAAAAACACAATTAGTACTCTATAATTTGTCAACATTAGGATAATATGGATAATTTCCAGATTTCATTTTATCTGTCAAAAGGTGTGTTTTTTACCTTCACATGAGCTAAGCTGTAACATAACTGTATCTACAATCCTTTTTTTATTTTCAGCATTAGTTGTATTTTGTATCATTTTCTTACATATTTCTATTTGCTTCTGTATTTTCATATTTGCTCATTTCCAACAAATATAAATATCTTTATATTTGTTTATTTCTATATTTTTCTTTATATTCTTTATATTATTTTATATTCTAACCTTTTCTTACGTATTATTTCATATAATCAATGTATTTTAGAACACAAAAAAAATAATAAAGATAAAAAAGATCTCAATAAAAATTTATGAAAAATCAAAAATTTTAAATTCCAATAATTTTAAATGAAAATTCAGGTGGTATCATTAAAAAAAGTAAATTCTGATTTCTTACTATAGTCTCCAGGCCTTCCATTGATTTTATCAGTTGAGCAAGTAAAAAAAGACTAAAATAAATAAAAACAAAAATCATAAAATATTAAACTAATTATAAGTTAATAATACTAATAATGTAATTATTACTAACTGCAATGTTACAAATTTCAAAAACACTGAAATACAAATTAATTTATATTTAGAAAAACCTTATAAAATGTGAAATGTTAGATTTTAAAAACAATAGCTACACACTATACATATGTAGATTCCATCAGTAATATGCAAGCTCATGTTTTATTAATAAATGATATATTTTATTAATTTGAAGTTAAAACTATTTTCAAGTTATTTTATTTATCATGGGGCAAACTAACTCAAATTTACCAGGTCGCAAAAATTTTTGCAGAAAAAACATTTACTGCAACAAAAATAGCAAATTTCTTTATCAAGACTCTCACAACTATTATGTTTTAAATATAATTTGTATAAAACAGATGTTCATCCAGATAATACAAACATAGAATAAAAAATATTTATTGTTAGCTGCCAAAATTTAAAAAAATAGAAATGAGGTAAATAAAAGCCCCTTACTACTTTTAATCAACTTCAAAAGCATAAACAAATAAAGAAACTTAAATGACAAATATTTATTGGTGTTACTCATAGCCCAAAAAGTCGGACGGACAAATAAACATTAGTAATATTTGTCTGACCAGGTTATTTTGTATCAACATTGTTTTGACCAGGTTATTTTGTATCAAAAATTATAAAAATTAGTGATCGCGATTGCTTCAAATAACATACTTTAAAGATCTCTAAATGGCTTTAGCCAATCGCTTAATTGTTTATATAATTGAATCTCTTATTTGAAAACATAAAAATTTATAAGATTTTATTTTAATGAAATATTAAACATATTTTATTATGAGTAAAGTTTTACAATTTAGTTACTAAATTAATTTTCTGAAGTAGCATCAAATAATCACTTACACACCAACACACACACACACACACACACACACACACACACACACACACACACACACACACACACACACACACACACACACATATATATATATATATATATATATATATATATATATATATATATATATATATATATGTATATTTATATAGCTCTTAGAATTAGGGCTAGCATTTGGTAATGCCAACCTAAAAATATCTAAGATCGGTGATTTTTTGTTGACCTCGTTTCTATGTTGTTATGGTGAAGCCTTCTAGAAAGACCAGGTAAGCCTAAATTTTGTGCAACTTTTTATTAACAACCAATATTTTAGCAACTTTGATAAATGATTTTTATAACAAAAAAAACACACTAAAATATTTTTAAAAAAATATAAATTACTAGATGATCTTTCTCTGACAATAACAAATCATATTCTGTTAGAGGCTGCAAATTCAGTGCCCATTTTAGTCTGAAAAAAAAAATTTATTCATTTTTAAGTAGGATTTCTATGTGCAAATATTAAATACATACATACATACATACATACATACATACATACATACATACATACATATATATATATATATATATATATATATATATATATATATATATATATATATATATATATATATATATATATATATATGCCTTCTCCATTATATATTCTCAGGAGAAGGTACATGTCTTCTCCGTTTAAAATTGCCAGTGCATGAAAAAGCGCTGCCTGGATGGCCATTTTTAGGCTGTTGTGTAGGATTTTAAAAATTCATCTTTAGTTACTACTTAAATTTTAAAAAATATAGAGAAAAGAATGCTTTAAATAAATTCTAAATGAAGTTAAAACCCAGCAAAATAAATGTTTCTAAATTATTCTAGATAAATTATTTATAATAATGTAGCAAAAAATAAAAAATAAAAATTTTATATAAATTTAAAACAAAATAATCAAAACAAAAAAGACAAAAGTTTTATTTAAGTTCTAAATTAAAATAATAAAAATGACAAACAAACAAACAAAAAAATTATTTAAATTTTAAATAAATTAATTCAAAAAAAAAAAAAAAGCATAATAAATGTTTTACTTAAATTCTAGATAAAGTAATTAAAATAAAAACAACAAAAAAAGAAAAAAAGATTTATACAACTATTAAACAAAAAAAAAAAAAAAAAATGGAAAAAACAAATGTTTTATTTAAAATCTAAATAAAATAAACCAAAAACATCAAAACAAATGTTTTATTTAAGTTCTAAATAAATATAATTGAAATAAAAACAGCCAATAAAAAAAAAACTTATTTTTATTCTAATTTAAAAAATTACATTAAAAATGGCAAAATGAACATTTTATTCAAACTTTAAACAAGATAAGATAAAAATGGCAAAACAAACGTTTTAATTAAATTCTAAATAAAACAATTCTTATATTTTAATAAAATAATTTATAGTATTTTCACCATTTATTATAAAAGT